ATTGCAAAATTCGTATTTCCTTACAAAAATTTACCATTTTAAACGTGTCTTAAGTTTCTAAGAATAAAAAAAACCATCAGAATTGAGATGGTGTGGGTGGGCGGGGTTTATATTTTGTCCCTTTTTTCTTTATATACATAGTATTCTTTGAACAATATGATACTCAAAAACATGTTTTTAATTTCTTGAAAAGAAATAGATATTTTGCAGTTAAACTTCGTCCCGTTGATTCACCACGAATAAAAAAAATCATCACAATTGAGATAGGGCGGGTGGGCGGGCTTAGATTTTGCCTTTTTGTTTTAATTTGTGTAGACTTCTTATCACAACATGAAACTTAAAACATGTTTAAAATGGAAAATTTGTATGAGGAAATATCGATTTTGCAATTAGGCTCCGCCCCACAATTGCAAAATCCACATTTCCTTGCAAAAACCATTTTAACCATATTTTAAGTTTCTTGTTATGAAAAGATGGCAATGTATATTAAGATAAAAAACGCAAAATATAAGCCCCGCCCACCCACCCTATCTCAATTCTGATGTTTTTTTTATTCATCGTAAAACGAGGGGCGGAGCTTAATTGTAGAATCCTTATTTTCCTACGAGAAATTGCCAATTTGAAATATGTTCTTAAGTAATCGCGTTATACAAAGAAAACTAAAAGAGAAGCCCCGCCCATCCGTCTCGATCTCAACCGTGACGAATTTTTCATTCGTTGTCAGATCGAGGGGCGGAGCTTAACTGCAAAATCCTTATTTCTTTACGAGAAATTAAAAACATGTTTTTGAGTATCGTGTTGTTCAAAGAATACTATGTATATTCAGAAAAAAAATAAAACCAAAGACTACGCCCCACCCATACCCGCCCCGTTTCCAATTCTCAATTGTGGTGAATTTTTTATTCGTTCTCAGATCAAGGGGCGGGACTTAAATGCAAGATCCACATGTGTTCAAGAATTTACTATTTTAACCATGTCTTGAGTTTCTTCTTCTGAAAAGACGACTACGTATATTAAGAAAAAAACAAAATATAAGCCCCGCCCACCCATCGCATCTCAATTGTGATGATTTTTTTTAATCGTCGAGAGCCAAAGGAGCGAAATTTTATTGCAAATTCGTTATTATTGCTCTACAAGAAATTACCACGTAAGACATGTTTTTGACTATCGTGTTATTCAAAGAATACTATGTACATATATTAAGAAAAAACTCAAGCCAAAGAGAAGAATCTAAAAGCTCTGGAAATTCTGGAAATGCTAAAACTTCTGTAGATTATAAAGATTCGAGGAATTCTAGAAATTCTATGGATTCATGTTTTAAGAGTTCTAGAAATTTTGAAGATTCTGACGATTCTAGAAGTTCTAGACATTCTAGAGAAAATTATGGACAAGCAAAAGTTTCTGAATTCTAAAGATTCTAGAAGTTCTAAGGATTCAAGAGATTCTAAGGAATCAAGAAATTCTAAAAATTGCAAAAATTCGAGAGAATAAAAAAGATTCTAAAAATTCTTGGAATTTTCGAGATTTTGAAGATATTAAAAATTTTAGAGTCCAAGAAATTTAAAGTTATAGAGTATACCGATTCCTGAAATTCTAGATATTGTAGTAGTTTTAGAGCTTCTAGTATAGAGGTTCTGGAAGATTCTAGAAATTCTTAAAATTTTCTAGATTCTGAAGATGTCAAAGATTCTAAAGAGTTCAAGAAATCCAAAGTAATAGAGTTTAATGGTCCTAAAGATTCCAAGAAATCCAACTCAAGCGGTTCCAGTAATTCTAGGGACTAGAGATTCTAAAGCTTCGAAAAATTTTAGAAATCCAAAAAATTCTAGAAATTTTAAAGTTTCTACAACTTCTAGAGATTTTAGAGAGTCTAGAGATTATGAAGAATCTGGTGATTCTGTAGATGTTAGTTAAATATTCTGGAGATTCTAAACATTTCAAGCAATTCAAGGGTTTAGAGTTTAGACGTTTCAGCAATTATAGAGATTAGAGACTCTAAAGATTCGATAAATTCCGACAATTCTAGAAATTCTAAAGATTCTAGAGATTCTACAGATCACAAAAATTCAAGTAATCCACGGCGGCTCCAGCAATTCTAGAGATTCTAAAGATTCTAGACCCTCTAGAGGTTTTGAAGAATCTATAAGCTCTGGAAATTCTGGAAATGCTAAAACTTCTGCAGATTATAAAGATTCGAGAAATTCCAAAAATTCCAGAGATTCTAGAAATTCTAAGGATTCATGTTTTAATAGTTCTAGAAATTTTGAAGATTCTGAAGATTCTAGAGGTTCTACACATTCTGGAGAAAATTATGGAGAGGAAAAGTTTCTGAATTCTAAAGATTCTAGAACTTCAAAGGATTCAAGAGATTCTAAGGAATCAAGAAATTCAAAAAATTGCAAAAATTCGAGAGACTAAAGATTCTAGAAATTCTTGGAATTTTCGAGATTCTGAAGATGTTAAAAATTCTAAAGAGTCCAAGAAATCTAAAGTTTTAGAGTACACCGGTTCCAGAAATTCTAGATATTGTAATAGTTTTAGAGCTTCTAAAAGTTCTGGGAGATTCTAGAGATGCTGAAGATTCTGAAAATTCTAGTGGTTCTAAAGACTCTAAGAAATCTAACTCAAGCGGTTTTAGTAAATCTAGGGATTAGAGCTTTGAAAAATTTTAGAAATCCGAAAAATTCTAGAAATTTTAAAATTACAAGTTCTAGAGATTTTAGAGATTCTAGAGATTATGAAGATTCTGGTGATTCTTTAGATGTTACTTAAAGATCCTAGAAATTCCAAAAATTTTACGGATTCTAAAGATCCTAAAGATTTTAAGAAATCCAAAGTTTTAGAGCCTAGATGTTCCATCATTTCTAGAAATTGGAGATTCTAAAGTTTCGAGAAATTCTAGAAAATCCAAAAATTCCAGAGATTTTAAAGATTCTAGAGATTCTAGAGGTTTTAGAGATTTTGGGAATTCCGAAAATTAAAGCCAAAGATTAAGCCCCACCCATACCTGTTTTGATCTAAAAAATAGTAATGAAGTCTTCATTCGCTGGCAGGCCTAGGGGCGGAGCCTAATTGCAAAATCCGTATTTCCTTAAAAAAAATTTACCATTTTAAACGTGTTTTAAGTTTCTAAGAATAAAAATTCATTGCAATTGAGATGGGGTGGGTGGGCGGGGTTTATATTTTGTCCCTTTTTTCTTAATATACATAGTATTCTTTGAACAACACGATACACAAAAACATGTTTTTAATTTCTTGTAAAGAATTAGGTATTTTGCAGTTAAGCTTCGTCCCCTTGATTCACCGCGAAAAAAAAATCATCACAATTGAGATAGGGCGGGTGGGCGGGCTTATACTTTGCCTTTTTGTTTTAATATGTGTAGACGTCTTTTCATAACATGAAACTTAAAACATGTTTAAAATGGAAAATTTGTAAACGGAAATATCGATTTTGCAATTAGGCTCCGCCCCATAATTGCAAAAACCATTTTAACCATGTTTTAAGTTTCTAGTTATGAAAAGATGGCTATGTATATAAAGATAAAAAAGGCACGATATAAGCCCCGCCCACCCACCCTATCTCAATTCTGATGATTTCTTTTATTCATCGCAAAACGAGGGGGGGGGCTTAATTGTACAATCTTTATTTTCCTACGAGAAATTGCCAATTTGAAATATGTTTATAAGTAATCGTTTTATACAAAGAAAACTAAAAGAGAAACCCCACCCATCCGTCTCGATCTCAACCGTGACGAATCGGGTGGCGGAGCTTAACTGCAAAATCCTTATTTCTTTACGAGAAATTATAAACATGTTTTTGAGTATCGTGTTGTTCAAAGAATACTATGTATATTAAGAAAATATAAAGCCAAAGACTACGCCCCACCCATACTCGGCCCGTTTCCAATTCTCAATTGTGGTAAATTTTTTATTCGTTCTCAGATCAAGGGGCGGGGCTTAAATGCTATACCACATTTGTGTACAAGAATTTACTATTTTAACCCTGTCTTGAGTTTTTGTTCTGAAAAGACGATCACGTATATTAAGAAAAAAACAAAATATATATTTAAACCGAGGGGTGGAGCTTAATTGTAAAATGGATATTTCCCTATACAAATTTACCATTTTAGACATGTTTTAAGGTTCTTGTTGTCGAAATAAGTCCACACGTACTAAAAAAAAAAGACAAGATGTAGATGAAAGTTAAGTTATATCAACGACAACTAAACCCTCGTTTAGTAACATTATTCTCAAATACTCGAATAAGAACTTCCGGTGAAAAACTTTCAAACGTGTACGATTCAAAATAGTGTTTTTCAAAGTCGTTTTTAAAGCTGTTTTTCAACAAAAAAAGCGCCAAATTTGGATTAACCAACCAACATTAATAAATTAGAATGAAGCCTAAAAATATTTCTTGACATTTGCGGTTTGAATCAAACCCACTCTAACCCGGAAACTTTTTATCTTCCATCTAAATTTTTCCAAATAATCAATTTCGTAGTAGCTTCAGAGATAATTCATCTAATAAAATAACCACTAGACAACCAAATTGACGACTTTTCGTATTCTACCTAGTAATTTTCTTCGAATTATCATTGCATTGTAATTTAATGTAGATTTCCCCATACAAATTGCGGTGCTGACGGATCTTCAATACCCACACAGACAGCATTTTTAACGAAAACAACACATTTGTCCTCAAGCGGAAATAATACGTTATCTACATTATTAACTAATGATGGTTCCTAATCCGTCCACGGTAAATAATAAATGCGAATGTTCATGTTTGCAATCAATATAAACTTATACTCTGACATATCTCTTCAAATATAACCGCAAATGTAATTATTTATACGGAGTTTACTCATCACAAAATTCGTTTCGTATCGATTTGAAATTTAATTATTAACACCCGGCGAATGAATACATTAAAACAATTTAAAACAAAATAATCTACAACGTACCCGTTTTATTTATTTATTTATTTAACTTTACTTTACCTTTGATTGACGCAAAAACTTTGACGTGCTTTCCGAGCGGGACGATGCTCTTGTTCCCATCCATTCTCTCCATCTCGACCAGGACCGTATTATGATTAACCTTAACCTTGTTAACTACTCTGCACTTCAACCTAGCCTCCACCAGCGAGTTCGTCCTGCTCTTCGACGTCTGCTTCAGCACCCCGAAATTCTCCCAAATACTTCCCTGGCACTTCTTGTAGACCATCTCCACCTTCCCCGTCTCGTAGCCCACTCTGAACTGACACGGCCAATTCACCTTGTCGCTGAACAAAATCTCGTTCTCAAAGACGGTGTTTTTGTAACTTAGGGAAATATGAAAGGTCCTTTCGTCGACTCGATTAGCCTCTATCAGCGGATTAGAAAAATTCCCCGTATAAAAAATAATAGTGATATAGTCCAGTTTCTGGATCCAATCGAATTTCGGTAACAAAATTGGTTCCTTGGTTGTGGCATTTTTCACAGTCTCTTCGTTGGGCGCCTTCGGAGCCACGTTGAGGGCGTCGGGGGGCGGCGGCTCCCTGGGGGCCTTCTGCGACTTGAACACCTCCTCGGGCTCGAACTCCACGTGGGTCTTGAGTCTGCCGACGTAGCACTTGCTGAGGATTTGGTCGAAGTTGACCCAAGGGTGCACCTTATTGTGTATAAACATATTAATGATGTTATTGTTATTTTTGTTCTTATTACCTCTTCAAAGAGTGCCGTGGCGTCCCTCCCCGCGCCCCTCATGAGCTGCTCGGGTCCTCCTGGATGGAATGGCAGGTATGCTGTCACGTTATAAACCCGTCCTCTGATGCATAACCAGGCGTCGGTCTCTTTGTTATGCAAGGCGAGCTCGGTCGGTGTCACCTATTTGAGAAATTTAATTACGGGGGCGGCGCGCCGGAGGCTCTTACCGATAGATGGCCCGCCTGTGGTCCCACTCCGGTGAGGTCCTTCCCGGAAGAACCCAACCGGATCCAGTCCATGAGAGAATGGCCGGGCGCGAGGGCATATTTGTTGCGTAGATTGCCTGGAAGAAATGCGGGCTGAGTAAAGGGTGTCTTTGAAGGCTCCGGGGAGCCGTTTGGAGGTCAGGTGGGCGAGTGGGGAGGCGGCGGCGGAGATTGTTCGCCGTTTAATTAAGTAGGCGGTTGTGGTACATGTTTATTATGTGTATCGGCGATGGTTGGAAGGGTTTCTTAGGTTTTATTCACTGGAAAATGTAGTCTGGAAATGTTTCGGGGTTTTGGGGGTTGAATAACGTACGGAAAATGGAAAAATTGAAAATTGTACTGCGGTTCTGGAACACTGGGAAAGTTAAATCATAGTTAAATAGCCGTTATTAATTATTTGACGTTTTAAATTGTGTTTATTGAATCCGTAGCAACCCTGACAAATTTACGTAAGTTAACCCTTGGATTTTTAAAGCACTCACAAAAAAATTGTTTTAAAAATGGCTTCAGGGAAACGGCCTGCTTATTAAGATTTTCATCAATTTTTTAGCAGTTTTCACACGATACAAGTTGTTCTTTCGGTTCAATTTTCTTTTAAATTAAATTTTTCATTCACTGAGGTGCTATTTCGTCAAAATTGAATAAAATATTGTGTATAACCACGCGAGTAAAGCACATTTTTCACTCGAATGAATAAAAATATGCTTAAATCGCTCGATGTGTAAATAACTATTTTCAAGTGTAAACACAAAAACACTGAAAAATTGAGCTTTCGAAAAGTTGCTCAAAAATTCCCAAAAAATTGTAAGATCTAGATCTCGACGTGCTGATTCTAAAAATATAGCGTGTTTATCATCCCGGAGCAAGATTTTAGGAATATCCAGTCCCCATTTCAATTTTCTTCGAGAATTTTAAAAATTGCCACATTTCAGTTGGAAATTCTGGAAAAATGATAATAATCATGGAAGAATGAGGCCGAAAGTAACTTCTAGAGGTGCAAATCTACAAGAAAATGTCTTTAACTAAATTTTCAAAATGGTCGAAAAAAGGCCGAAATTTTTTGAGTTTCTCTTTTGGTTTTCTTTTCATAACACGATTACTTAAGAAAATATTTCACATGGTAATTTCTCGGAGAAAAAGAAAGATTTTGCACTTAAGCTCCGCCCTCTTGACTCACGACGAATAAAAAAAATCATGACAATTGAGACAGGGCGGGTGGGTGGGGCTTACATTTTGCCTTTTTTCCTTAATATACGTAGTCATCTTTTCACAACATATATTTAAATCAGATGACTACGTATATTACGAAAAAAGGGATAATATAAGCCCCGCCCACCCGCCCTATCTCAGTCGTGATGATTTTTTTATCCGTCGTAAGTTGTGGGGCGGAGCTTAATTGCAAAATTCTTGTTTTTCTGCAAGAAGGATGTTCTTGAGAAATTGTATTGTTTAAAGCAAACTATATGCATTAATTAAAAAAGAAAGCCACAAGATAAGCCCCACCCATCCGTTTAAATCCTATTCTAGCTTTTGGGCGGGGCTACATTTTGCCTTTTTTTTCTTAATATGTGTAGACTTATTTTCATAACAACAAACTTAGAACATGGTCAAATGGTACATTTTTGCAAGGAAATATGGAATTTGCAATTATGGGGCGGAGCCTAATTACAAAATCGATATTTCCTTATACAAACTTAACATTTTAAACATGTTTTAAGTTTCATGTTACGAAAAGTCTACACATATTAAAACAAAAAGGAAAAAGTATGCCCGCCCACCCGCCCTATCTCAATTGTGATGATTTTTTTTATTCGCCGTGAACGAACGGGGCAGAGCTTAACTGCAAAATACTTTTCTTTACAAGAAATGAAAAACATGCTTTTGAGTATCGCGTTGTTCAAAGAATACTATGTACATTAAGTAAAAAAACAACGCAAAATATTAACCCCGCCCACCCACCCCATCTCGATTGTGATGATTTTTTTATTCTTAGAAACTTGAAACAGGTTAAAAAAGGTAAATTTTTGTAAGGAAATATGGATTTTTCTATTAGGCTCCGCCCCTAGGTGTGCCAACGAATGAAAACTTTATTGCTGTTTAGATCAGGGCAGGTATGGGTGGGGCTTAATCCTTGTTCTTAATATATATAGTATTCTTTGAATAACACGATACTCAAAAACATGTCTTATATGGTGGGTTTTTACAATTAAATTCCGCTCCTTTGGCAGTCGATGTTAAAAAAAATCATTACAATTGAAATGGGGCGGGTGGGCGGGGCTTATATTTTGCATTTTCTCTTAATATACGTAGTCGTCTTTTCAGAACAAGAAACTCAAGACATGGTTAAAATAGTAAATTTTTGTATACTAATATGGATCTTGCAATTAAGCCCCGCCCCTTGATCTAACAACGAATGAAAAATTCACACGATACTCAAAAACATGCTATTAATTTCTCGTAGAGAAATGAGGATTTTGCAGTTAAGCTCCGCCTTCTTGGCTCACGACGAATAAAAAAAAATCATTACAACTGAGACAGGGTGGGTGGGCGGGGCTACATTTTGGCTTTTTTTTTTTCTTAATATGTGTAGACTTATTTCGCCAACAAGAAACTTAAAGTAGTAATCGATGAAATGAAGCTGAAAATAACTTCTAGATATCTAAATCTACAAGGAAATGTCTACGGCTAAATTTCCAAAATGGTCGACAAAGGGCCGATTATTTCATATTTCATAATGTCGAAAAATTCCGCTTTTGAAAAAGTTGCTCAAAAATTACCAAAAAATTCTAGGATATAGATCTGGACGTACTGATTCTAAAAATATAGCTTCCTTACGATTTCGGAATAAGATTTTAGAAATATCCAGTTTGAAATTCAATTTTCTTAAAAAATCCTAAAAATTGACACATTTCAGTTGGCGATTCTGCCAAAAATGTTAAGAGTAATCGAAGAAATGAAGTCGACTTCTAGAGATGGAAATCTACAAGAAAATGCCTTTAACAAAGTTACCAAAATGATCCAAAAAGAGCCAAAAATTTCATAATGAGGCAGTATTGAAAAATTGAGTTTCTGTTAAAACTTGACCAAAGATTCACAGAAAATTCTGGAATATCGATCTTGACGTGATTATTCGAAAAATATAGTGTGTTTATGGCCCCGGAACAAAATTTCAGAAATATCGGGTTTGAAGTTCAATTTTCTTAAAAAATCCTAAAAATTGTCACATTTCAGTTGACGATTCTGGAAAAATGATAAGATTAATCGAAGAAGTGAAGTCCAAACTAACTTCTCGAGGTGGCAATCTACAAGAAAATGCCTTTAACTAAGTTTCCAAAATGATCCAAAAAGAGCCAAAAATTTCATAATGAGGCAGTATTGAAAAATTGAGTTTTTGTTAAAACTTGACCAAAGATTCACAAAAAATTCTGGAATATCGATCTTGACGTGATTATTCGAAAAATATAGCGTGTTAATGGTCCTGGAACGAAATTTCAGAAATATCGGGTTTGGAATTCAATTTTCTTAAGAAATTCTAAAAATTGACACATTTCAGTTGACGATTTTGGAAAAAATGATAAAATTAATCGAAGAAATGAGGTCCAAAGTAACTTCTAGAGATGAAAATATACAAGAAAATGCCTTTAACTAAGTTTCCAAAATAATCCAAAAAGGCCAAAAATTTCATAATTGAAAAATTGAGTTTTTGTTAACAGTTGCCTAAAAATTCCCAAAAAATTTTGGAATATAGATCTTTACGTGCTGATACGAAAAATATAGCGTGTTAATGATCCTGGAACAAAATTTCAGAAAAATCAGGTTTGAAATTCAATTTTCTTAAGAAATCCTAAAAATTGTCACATTTCAGTTGGCGATTCTGGAAAAAATGATAAGATTAATCGAAGAAATGAGGTCCAAAGTAACTTCTAGAGATGGAAATCTAGAAGAAAATGACTTTAACGAAGTTTCCAAAATGATCCAAAAAGGTCAAAAATTTCATAATTGGAAAATTGAGTTTTTGTTAAAAGTTGCCCAAAAATTCCCAAAAAATTCTGGAATATAGATCTTGGCGTGCTGATTCGAAAAATATAGCGTGTTAACGGTCACGGAACAAAATTTCAGAAATATTGGGTTTGGAATTCAATTTTCTTAAGAAATCCTAAAAACTGCTACATTTCAGTTGGCGATTCTGCAAAAAATGATAAGATTAATCGAAGAAATGAGGTCCAAAGTAACTTCTAGAGATGGAAATCTAGAAGAAAATGCCTTTAACGAAGTTTCCAAAATGATCCAAAAAGGCCAAAAATTTCATAATTGGAAAATTGAGTTTTTGTTAAAAGTTGCCCAAAAATTCCCAAAAAATTCTGGAATATAGATCTTGGCGTGCTGATTCGAAAAATATAGCGTGTTAACGGTCACGGAACAAAATTTCAGAAATATTGGGTTTGGAATTCAATTTTCTTAAGAAATCCTAAAAACTGCTACATTTCAGTTGGCGATTCTGCAAAAAATGATAAGATTAATCGAAGAAATGAGGTCCAAAGTAACTTCTTGAGATGGAAATCTAGAAGAAAATGCCTTTAACGAAGTTTCCAAAATGATCCAAAAAGGCCAAAAATTTCATAAATGAAAAATTGAGTTTTTGTTAAAAGTTGCCCAAAAATTCCCAAAAAATTCTGGAATATAGATCCTGACGTACTGATTCGAAAAATATAGCGTGTTTATGGTCCCGAAACAAAATTTCAGAAATATCGGGTTTGGAATTCAATTTTCTTAAGAAATCCTAAATATTGCTACATTTCAGTTGGCGATTCTGGAAAAAATGATAAGATTAATCGAAGAAATGAGGTCCAAAGTAACTTCTAGATATGGAAATCTACAAGAAAATGCCTTTAACTAAGTTTTCAAAATGATCCAAAAAGGCCAAAAATTTCATAATTGAAAAATTGAGTTTTTGTTAAAAGTTGCCCAAAAATTCCCAAAAAATTCTGGAATGTAGATCTTGACATGCTGATTCGAAAAATATAGCGTGTTAATGGTCCTGGGACAAAATTTCAGAAATATCGGGTTTGGAATTCAA